GAGTATGTTCAATAAACAGTTAAAGAACTCAAGGATGATTAATTAATATCATTTTATGTTTAAGGAAAATAATATAAATAATACTACAGTATGTCTCTTATATTTAATTAATATCAATTCCTAAAAACTGAGTTGTTAAATTCGCATGTTATGCTAAACATTGCGAATCATCGGAAATTGGTACGAAGAAATAAAACGGGTTTTTGGACCCTTGTATTTATTGGATCATACTTTTATTATAAATCTAATTATTCCACTTGTAGTGGGAACCGAGTGTAAAACACCCCTGCCACAGCAAACCTGCAGACTAAGCAAATTTTTATTTGCGTGATTAGACTTTTACTAAAATATCTCCTTAAAATGTCATATCAATTCCCTATTAAAATAACTTTAGTTTAACGAGTACTTAGGGTTGCTATTGCGGGGAAAATATACAGTTGTTAATCGAAATTTTAATAGTTTAGTATGAAATAATACATTTTCCAACTTTGATCACATATTCAAAATAATGGTAAAATACTGTGTAATCAAACAATCAAACTAAAACAGTTGTTACTCTTCATAAAAACAACATAGGAGTTTAAAATTTACAGTTTTTTTTTAATTTTTCCCTAACCATTAACAAATAAAAACGCTTCAACATACAAAATTATTGGGTTTTCTAGTTCTACAAAATGGTTTGAAAAAATGCAAAATTATATGTTTTCAGGGCTAAAAATGCCAAAACATAATTCCCCCATAAAAACCTCCGTAAAACTAAGTATATCCATAGTCCAATCATGCTGGTTCGCGAACTCGTTCGAACAAATGTAAGTTTACAGGTTTATACCAAATTCCGTCAAAATTGGATCATTTTTACTCGAGTTATTGTGATAAGGGGCATATAATATATATGCATTTTAATGGATTGTGTTTTTGGCCTCTGAGGACTTATAAACGAACAATTTAATCGGTCCCGAATCCAGTTCCTACATTGCGACCTACAGTAATAGCTTATCCTCTACATGGAAAATTCTATAACAACGGATTTTATTATCAGCATGAAAATCATACAAACCCAACCCACGAAGCTAGGGAAAGTAGAAAGGCAAGTGCATACCAACACCACTGTTAGTTTTGCAAATTTAAGAAATTCTCACGTTTACCACCTTGGAAAGTTCATTCTTGGAATTAACAGTCGAGAACATCTGATGAGTAGTAATTTACCTCTGGGTTACTTTTATTGCCTATTTTTAATTATAGCTATTCGCCATTCAATACCATATAGCCCATATAAAAGTCGTATAACGTTTAGCCGAATTTGCTTTCACTTTTGAATGGCACTGATAACCTCAGCAAGGTTTATGGCATGATTTGGTGTAGAATAAGGAATTCCTGTAAGTAGGTCTGCAAAAACGTACACACTTGATAAAAGTGACTATATCTATTAGGGTAAAATATGATAAAATCATGGTAATGCTAAGGGGAATTGCAGGTTTAGTGGTTGGAACGCGGAACTTCAATCCTGGGGGACCGAGTTCAAATCCCGCAAATCACCAATGCAATGACGTGGCCCAGTGAATCAGACCCACTTTAAGCTGTAAAGTATCGCTTAAAGTAAAACATGTTTCTTAAAGAACAGTCTCTGTGAAGATTTTCCACGAAAATGACGAGATAATTTAAGATAAACAAACAACTATAGTTAAATATTGAAATTATGTTTTACCATATTTTTAGATATAAATACTTTGCTTGCAGTTTTATTCTTGCGAGTTCGCACACGAATAAACAACAACAAATATCATTACAATAAATATTACATGGCAAAGTGGATGAGTTAGTATCGAACTTTGTTCTTGTCAAATTTTCTTTGCTGTCGACCAATCATAAACTTGTTACCATAGTAATACGGTTATACAAAAATGTTGTGTAACAATGTAAAATGACTACACAGCAACACATCTCTCATGAGTATTTATTTTGTAATCACAATGACCAAAATTGAACACGAAATAACTTTAGGCGTAAACAAAACTACCCTTGTAAAAGAAATAAAATCCAGCATAAGTAGATTCAAGTTAAATTCTCCACCGGAATCAAATGATTTCAACTTTGCTTAGAAAATAAATAGTACGGATGTTTTTCATAATTTAAAATATATATTTTAACAATAACTAGTACCTATTTATTATGATTGTACCTTCGTTTCGGATTGAGCAGTCTTGTAGTGATAATCGTTTCGAAACATTTCGTAGTTATAACTTTAGTATGTCACGTGATATGTATTTTGAATAGGAAGTATATATTTTAGTATATAATACAAATTAAATAACTATACTATCCTAACCTGCTCAAACAGATAGAGTGGGTGAATAATGAATATACCTTCGAAATATAATATGTTCATTCACATTGTACAATTATATTACAACATTCATACTATGGTATCAATATTACAATTTGTCGGTAGCTAACGGAACCTAAGCTTCGGTTGAAATTTCCAATTCGTCTATGAAAGTTCAATTGAAATAATAAAACAAACCAACAAAATATTTCGCATACATCTCGTTGGAACATCACATGGCAATAAAATTCGATCTGAACACACAAAACTAGACTAGCCACAAACCGTTGAAAAACTATAATACCCCTGCCGAAGCGTTTTGTCTGATTGGATTTCTAGTAAAATATTCCCTTAAAATGGTCAGATTTATTTCCTATTTAAATAACATTTATTTCATTGAGTACATAGGTTTGCTGTTACAGGGAAGGTGCTATATAAAGTGTTTTTTTTTTTCATGGTAATAGCTTGGTTTGAAGTAACCATTCGTCAAATTTTATCAAAATACATCCCTGAACAAGAAAGCTACTACAGTTTATCAATTTTTCATAAGTATATTAAAACAAAAGTTTTGAAATAGTACAATTCATTATCTTTAGAAATCGTTAGTATGCCTTTTAATCATTACCATTACCAGCCATTAGTAGGACACATACCTAGGTACCTACGCCTTTAAAATGAATATAAATGCAAGAATGTATAATGTAGTGAAAATCTAGCTTTGTACTAAGATCAGCTGTTTCCATAACTGTGACCGTTTATTAAAAGCCCAATGATCAAGCACAGCTGTGAGCTGTGTCCAGTTGTAACACCATCAAATAGCTGATTAATTTCTCAGGTATCGGCAACATATTACTGTGCCTCTCAGCTGTCCAGCAGAAACAATCTATTGATGAAATATATTCTTTGCTATTATGTACTGTACACTTTGTATTATTGTATACTACTTTGTTGTAATACAACAATTACTCTATTTCCCGAAACAATTAAGCCCTTTCCATATCCATACGTATAACTCACATGTGAACTAGAATGCCGAAAAGTTTTATTAAAATGTTACTATTACAGAATAACAATATCTATACTGGCGATGGCATAATGATAAAACTAGTGAGGGGAAAATCCAAACTAAACTACATGTAGAAAGATTGTATCAGTTGGTTGAAGTAGAAATATGAGGGGCTAATGAGGGGGTTGAAAACTTGAATTTAGAATCGGGAGGATATTAAAAAAAATCATTTTCGGACTTAATTTAACCGAGACAATTCAATAAAATATTTTTACCATTTACCATTTAGCATTTAAAAATTCAAACAATCGTGATTATTTTAAGCTGTTTAATTTCTATGGTGTCAAACGTTATGGTAAACTAACTCACTAAAGCTGGTTTATGTATGTATCCTCATAAAGTTAGGAAAGTGTCTTAATTTATAATAGGCTTTGGAAATTTAACATAAAATCACACCGGTGTGATTCAACCAAGATTTGACAAACAGCAACGCAAACCTAAGTACTCGTTAAGAAGGTATAGGCCCTACTACAATATGCAAGTGTAATTTCTTATTGCAAACCCTGTTAGGACAATAATCAATCTAAGCTACTAGAATCGGTGTAATATGCAGAATTTCTGCAACGAGATGTTGCATATTTATCCTGAAGATGTTTTATCGATTCAACGTTTATTTACATAACACATTATAAAATTTAGAGTTTTGACAGAAGTTAAAAATATTATGTACAATTGTTCCTGGTGTTCCGAATCGTAACTATAATTTAAAATTACTATAATAATCAAAATTCCATAACTTGTTTTTTAAATTAATTCCCCGTCGTGAAAATACAATGTGAATTGTATAGCTTTATGATTATTAAAAAATATTGTAAATAATACTATAAAAACATTGAAAATGACATCATTAAACACAATTATTTAACATCATTAAAAAAGGGAAGATTGTGGTAACACTCTTATACCATAAAGCACCAAGTTTATTATTTTTTCTTTCTGAGGAAAAATATTGAATGTTTATGCAAAAAACATGTTTAAAATATATTTTTTTAATATATTAAAATATATATTGGTTATGTTTTCTCTGTCATAAAAATGTAAAGATCAACATTTATATATTTTTCTAAATAACACCGTTTCTGGAATAGCAATAGTGGTGCCGAGTTTACAGTGAGTATTTGTTATATATTATAGTACCGACCAAACGAATAACTATTGTTATGTTCATTTTATGGACATATCTAAAGAGATCGACCCCGCGCTTCGTTTACGTTTATATTTTTTAAGCTTTGCCGAGAATGGCTCAATAATAACCCCCTAGAATCACCCCACAGCTATTGAACCGATTGACAAATATCCAGTTAACGAAATCTTTTGTGTCAAAATAGCACATTGGATGTCATTTGATCAAAATAATAACTATTTAAACGCTGCAGTGAAACCTATCCCAATCTGTGGAAACCCAAACAAACGGGAATAGTGAACAAAACAGAACTTCTCAATCCTTTCACCCACAATCGGTCATGCTGTCAGAAAGATAAAAACGTGTTAATGGCGGTAAAATGCTGCCGGAACCTCTAGGCTAAGAGGTAAGATCCAGAGGCCCGGCGGTCGCCAAAGAACATTATACTATGGAGGTCATGCACTTTCTCCAGACACTTTCACACTTACCAGCATCTGTAGACGGGGTCTCTAGGATTCTGACGGGGTTGTCGATCTGTAGGAAGTCCTGGATATCTGGAGAGGTCCTGGAATTCTGGAGAGGTCCTGGATATCTGGAGAAATTCTGGAGAGATCCTGGAGAACGTCAGATCGCGAACCCCATTACACCCCGCACTCCCCACACATATAGTCTACAGCACTGAGAGTAAAGTCTTCTTCTGCCGTCTAGAAGACGCTAGATGCCCTACACGTCAAGGGAGTTGTAAAACACATCACCGATGGATCATCCTAGAGGACGATGGTCCATCGGGATGATGAGTGTTTCAAGTATGTTAAACAAGTGGTGTGTAGTGTTGATGCGGAAGATGTTTGTTCGCAATTCAGCAATTAAATGCTGTACTGTATTTTATAACCAAAATATTTCACGGATGCGATTTTATTTAGGTATATTTTACTGTTCTAAAATGCTAGGACAAAAATAACCGTTGGTCAGTTTGCAGGTTGAATTTTGTATATATTATTTTCCAAATCTTTCTTGGCAAAGGTGTACACGTACAATCCCTTTCATATTTTTTGTTGTCACACAAAATTCACACAAATTGTCCACTATTTGTATACGAGTTACGCATTTTAAACATTTGGTAATCAATAATGCTACCTTTGTAATTCAGGAATTTTAAATCTCATCCTGTGAAATTTAAAGTCCGTGAAGAATTTTGACACTCTGACGTCTGTGGAAATAGCATATTGTAAGCATTTAATCCGAAACCATATAAACAAGAGAGAGTTTGAAAATAATTCATACAAAATTCAACCAGCACACTTCAACGGTTATTTTTGTTGCATTTTAGAACAGTAAAGTATAGCTAAATGAGATTCAAAAGCTAAATTTATCTAAAATACCGAAACTCAATTTAAGTTTTACCTTACTGCCAATAAAATACAAAAAAATACTGAATTTACAGTAAATATAATTTTTCTAAAATAACTGTCCTATATGAATTTATTTGTAAAATGTAATGCTAATATTAACATATGACTATGTAAATGCACGTGTTATACAGTTATGGAAGGAGACGACAACTTACTGCCTGCAGACGGGACTGTGGCCTACTGACTCAGAGCGGCAAGCAGGGAGTCGCAGGTAACGGTACTGAAGATTTCACTTGGACCGTCCCTTCCACTACCACACCACTCCATACTCCATACTCCACAGTCCTGGAGTGACAGGTGTACTCCATCTGTCTGTGGTCAGTACTGGAGTCAGCTGGGAGTTTAATTCATTTGTTTGGACGTGCAATCCAAACTGGAAACAGTTGTGGGATTACTTCGTTTTCCCACTGGTGAATACATGGAGGGATTTGAAGATTAACTGAAATTATGCTCTACTATTTTGTTAAGTAAACCCATTTGCGAAAGGATAACACATACCTTGATGTTCCTGTAACTAACTCGATGGAACCTCGATTCTAAGCAGTAAATTGTTGGTGGTTTACAACTGTTCTGTTGTTTCTTTCTTCTTGTCAATCCGCCTGTGAAAATTCTATAGGAGCACAACGGGCCCTTTTTCGGCATCTACCTTAAGTTTCGGGCCCTTTTTCGGCATCTACCTTAAGTTTCGGGCCCTTTTCCGGTGCGCCCAAAACTGGACCCAACTGATCATTGACCCCTTGATCATTGATTAACTAACGAATCTGGCCAAACAAAATAATTTCTTGCAGATTTAACCACCAGGGACTACTACGATGCTCTCGATACCAGAGGCAAGAGTAAGCTGGATATCACAACACAGGTTGGCTAAATAATAAAAAAATTATGGTAAATCGCTTAAAACTAACTGTGATAGATTTTGTAATAGGCTACCTCAGAATACATAACTGAGCTCGTTCAAACGCTTCAAGTCCACCTTAAAGGATTTTATTCACTCGATGAGTTTGCAATGTGCACATTTAATGTAAAATGTTCCTCTGTATACACTAACTTGGCGTCTGAACCCTAGTCTACCTGCGGACGGACCGGGGCCGAAACCTTTCTCGCCCACTGTTGAGCAGCTGTTTCCATAATTAGTCTCCTAGTAGCACCTCCACTGCAATTATGAACTTTTTTGTGCGGGACGGAATTTTATTTTTTTTTCTGCACAAGCAAAAAGTTCATGAAATTTTAAGAAAAATGATACTAAACTTGACCATATTCCGTTAAGTTAAGCTTACGTTTAAATTATTTTTTATCTGGTTGATGGTTGATATAATTGTATTTTAATATAATTTACCAAAATACCTAACAATGTTATTCATATTATAAATATGTCGAGTGGGGGGGGGGGGTAAAATATTCATATTATGCATACCGTTGATATTGTTATTTATATCTTTGAACTAACCCCCATGTCTTCCGGGAAATGAGTGATTCACGTCCTAAGACCTCTGACGATTCTGACGTGAGGGTATCGTCATTAGATTAATCGCGTATTGAAATGCTATTGATGAAATATGTATAATCTGCCAAAAAACTACGGTAGGCCCGTCGTAGGCCTACGCTTTATACAGAAATTTAATTAGCTTAAAAACATTTACTCAACCCATACACATAATTCTGTGATTTTTTATCGACAATTGCCATATCCTTAGAAACATGATGATTGTATGATTATTTTAAGTTCCATTTGGCCCGTACAAAATGACGCAATTTTGACTTTTCATGCCAAATGCTACTTTCGCTCGCATTTACGATTAGTTTTTTTACCTTTTAACACATAACATTACGTATACTTAATGAAATGTACGGTTTAAAAGTGTTTCACGTTTACAATAGTCTTAAATGTGATTGGTTAGATCTACTCAAAGAAACATATGAATTAGGTTGTGACAAACTACATCACCTCAACACGTTTTACATGTTTTTACTTCTTAAACTTTATTCCCCTAACAATATTAGGAAATTTAAATAAATCACTATTCCTTTTTTGTGTTTGTAGATTCGCGATGCACGTCTGATTTAATTAAAGATAATTCATACATAACGATATTACAGTTTTATTTCTATCCCTTATAAAGTTGCTATTCCTCGTTAGCTACTGTACATATGCCTGTAGGTTCTACAAACGTAATAAGAATATGGTCAAGTTTGGTATCATTTTACTTATTTATTCATGGACTTTTTGCTCGTACAGATAAAAATGTAAAATTCCGCCCCGCACAAAAAAGTTAATAAGTGCATTGGGGGTGTGACTAGGTGACTAATTATGGAAACAGCTGCTCAAGAAGTGAGCGAGCAAGGGACGGTCCCGGCCCGGTCGCAGGTAGTCAAGGGTCCAGACGCCAAGTTAGTGTATACAGAGAATAATGTACATAGATTTAGTTAATTTTAATTAGATGTATTAGCAAGTACAGTATTATTTAAATATTGACTGTTTCTGATTCTGTAACCTATAAATCAATGGAATAAATACTCTCGACTGTAGTAGGCTAAAGCTGATCTAAGTCAGTTACAAAGCTAGCACAAGTACACCGCTGTCTCAGTGAACTGATTAAGAAGAGATTTAAGAAACTATAGGTATACGTAATTCTTTTGATCAATACTTAATCAAAAGTTCTCTAAATAATTGAGATATTCAAATTTATTTATTTAATATTCAAAGGCAGTATACGTCTCGGTAGTTTTGTCTTGGATGCGTCAGCTGATGAAACGATTAAAATTTGATTTGTTTTTATTTACTATTTAAACACGGTTCCATCCAAGTAAGTACAGCTACTATGTAAACTGAGCGGTGTTAGAGCTCACCTACATCAAATGTTATTATACTGTTATTGTTATGTTATTGTCATCGTTATTGTTATAAACGAATTTTATTTACTTTCCTTAATCAGAGGGATTCTAAAAAAAATAATTTTTAGCTGTTTTATTGTTCGAAACTGGACCTTGTACTTGATCCTTCTAACGATAACCTAACTAAACAGCTGATGTTAGTCAGTAGAAAAGCCTCAAAAGGCTCTCTCCATTTTTCATCCTTCACTCATATTCGGGTAAATTACGTCTATATCCCTATGTTAAATGGTATTAATAGTGATTCAGAGGCTAATTTGTCGAGAAACACATTTGAAACTGAACAATACAGTGTTTAAGTGGTGACCACAGGCAATGTCGGTCTCTCTTTAGCCGCAAGCCCGCCGTAGTCTGCTATGGACAAGTGTGTCGAACGTCGAACGCCGCCCTCAAAACGACGGCTACAAAAACGGCCCTCCAGATATGGGCTCTCAGAACGCGGTAAAACACTTTAACAAAGGGCAAAGGTAATCTTTAAAATAATTTTGATTATTGTCTGTCATCTTAGTAGCGTGTAAATATGATCTACAACTATTTGAGGTAATATTGTTACCATACATATAAGATACTTCCAACACTTTCCTATGTTAATTAATTACTTATGTATTTATTTATTTATCATACGGTAAACACCATTTTTACAACAGATTATACATGAGGGCAAGTTCAATAAAATATTTATAAATATATATAAGTCGGATTCAGATACATCTTGCTGAAAAAAAAAGATTGCTTACATGAAAAATTACACCAACAGGATTGTACCAAAAATGCCAACAAAGATTGGATAATGCGTATTATAAATCCTAGTTAACAAGCATAAACATTTTTAGAGAAAAATAACGATTACCAAAACTAGATAACAATTGATAAATATATCAATATAATAACAATAACAAGCAAAAATATAAATATGTTTGACAGACAAGACAAAAAAATAAAAAAAATGACAACAATATAATAACAGTGACGTAAACTAAGTGAAAAATGTTAACAGTGCAATAAAAAATGTATGTGAAAGTGCAAACAACAAACAGGGCAGCAAATTCCGGACAGTGAACTCAGGACAATTTCTCATCAACAACATAACAATAACAACCTAAACTAGGGTATTTTTTATGGCTTTCAGTTTGCAGGTGAACATATCAACATGTTGGCATGCTTGATTTCCAAGTCTGTGGAGCCGTGGAATTGTAGTCTGTACTGTGGAAGGCGTAGTTTGTTGAAAAAGAAGCTGTGTTGAAGAGTTGAATGAGCCTGAAGTGTCGAGGAGGTGTA